AATATTTTTCACATCATATCAATGCACTGGATGAATTGCCTACCTCATATCCTATACATACTTTTTACTAAATTATCTCTCTCTCTTTATTTTTATTTTTTAAAGATTTTATTTATTTACTTGAGAGAGAGAGAATGAGAGATAGAGAGCACGAGAGGGAAGAGGGTCAGAGGGAGAAGCAGACTCCCCGCTGAGCAGGGAGCCCGATGTGGGACTCGATCCCGGGACTCCAGGATCATGACCTGAGCCGAAGGCAGTCGCTTAACCAACTGAGCCACCCAGGCGCCCTCTCTCTCTTTTTTTAAAGATTTTATTTTTTATTCAACAGAGAGAGACACAGCAAGAGAGGGAACACAAGCAGGGGGAGTGGAAGAGGGAGAAGCAGGTTTCCCGCCGAGCAGGGAGCCCGATGCGGGGCTCTATCCCAGCACCCTGGGATCATGACCTGAACCGAAGGCAGATGCTTAACGACTGAGCCACCCACGCGCCCCTAAATTATCTTTTTTTTTTAAAAAGATTTTATTTATTCATTTGACAGAGAGAGAGAGAGCACACGCAGGGGGAGTGGCAAAGGGAGAGGGAGAAGCAGACTCCCTGCTGAGCAGGGAGCCTGATGCAGGGCTCAATCCCAGGACTCTGGGATCACGACCTGAGCCAAAGGCAGATACTTAACCAACTGAGCCACCCAGGTGCCCAATTCTCTCTGTCTCTCTCTCTCTCTTTTTTTAAAAAGATTTTGTTTATTTATTTTGACAGAAAGAGAGACACAAAGCGAGAGAGGGAACACAAGCAAGGGAGGTGGGAGAGGGAAAAGCAGGCTTCCCACCGAGCAGAGAGCCCAGACGTGGGGCTTGATCCCAGGACCCTGGGATCATGACCTGAGCTGAAGCAGACACTTAACGACTGAGCCACCCAGGCGCCCCTCTTTTTTTTTTTCCCCTAAGAAGATCTCTTTTTCTATGAAAGATATTGATTATTTGCCATACATGTTATTAATATTGTTGGTTGCCTTTGTTCAAGCTTTTTGACATCCAAAAGTTATTTTTATTGTGAAATGAAATTTCCTCCCTTTCCCCCCCAAGTTAATCAGTTAAATATTTATTAAGGCCCAACACTGAAGCCTCTCAATTTTACTGAGAAAAGAGAGGATAAGTAACTAGTTCAAGGTCACTCAGAGGGAGGTAGGGACAGGACTGAGTTGTTGGTAGCCTAGACTAGAGAGGTGGTATCAATGAGGGTGGAAAAAAACAAGAAACAGGCAACAATGTCCCAGGCTTGGTAGAGGTAGGACAGTTGACGTTCTTCTTGGATCGTACCTCTAAGATGCCTTCCCAGTCATCTGTGAGGGTATGCTCCAAGGCCCAAGCGTGTCTCACAGAGTCACATTTTGTGCACATTTGTGTGTGAATATGCGCATGCCCACAGACATGTACAGAAGCTGGTAGAGGGGGGCAGGAGAAGCCAGAACATAATTGAAGGGCCTTTGTTAGGGGTGTCAGAGGAAGACACACATCAAAGACACCTACTGGTGTGTATGGTGAATAGGGAATAGAGAAAACTCAGGAATGTCTCTGTATTGCTGCAAGGACCGAGATGAGAAATCTATGGTCCTCAGAAGAAGCAGGGCACAGCCGTGTGTAAACATGGACACTGACGGGCAGCAAAATCTAGGTAATGCTAAGGCAAGATCTGGAACTAGCCAGCCTACCAGTGGGTCTCACCTCGAGCCCCTCCAAGAACTTCTAGTCACAACCCAGGGACTGAGGCTGAGGGACATTCACACTGGCTGGCTGCACCCCTTTTCCACTATGCAGTTACAATAAGCTTGTCACGGGGCACCTTGGTAGCTGAGTCAGTTAAGCGTCTGCCTTCGGCTAAGGTCATGATCCCAGGGTCCTGGGGTCGAATCCCACACTGGGCTCCCTGCTCAGTGGGAGCCTGCTTCTCCCTCTGCCTGCGCTCACTCGCTCTCTCTCTGACAAATAGGTAAATAAAATCTTAGGAAAAAAACAAGACCGTCACATCTCCTTTAAGTGACATACAGAGTTACCTCTGGGGTGAAGATTTGAATCCTAGGAGGAAGAAGGTGTGTTTTTTAAATGAACAAAGAGGACCGAGGAGAACATTTAAAACCCTCGAGCCCTGTCCTTTCCCTGTCACACTCTTTGATAGCAGAGGACCCTTGCTAGGGCCAAAGCCAGTCTCTTCTGTCACATCCCAGCCCTCATTCCCAGCAGCCCTACACTGGCAGGGCCTTTGTTTCTTCTGCCAATAACATTCTTTCCTCTCCATTTTACTAAAGCAACTCCTATGGTTTCCAGATCTCAGTTTGAGCATAAGATTCTTATCTTCCCAACCAATCCGGATTCCCTGTTACAGGCCCTGCTAGCACTGGGGACACCTTCCTTCAGAGCACTCACAACTGCAACTTACACTTATTTGTACAATTGACTGATGGGGTGTGAGCCTCCCTTCTAGGACTGTAAGCTCCTTGAGGGTAGGGATTGGGTCTGTTTTTACTCAAGACTATATCTCCCCTGCCTGGAAGAACAGACATCCTCTAGTCAGCTCTCAGTAAATACTTGTTGAATGAAGGAATAAATGAATTCAGAAACCTTAAGTTTAACTTATCCTCACAAAGGGGCAATTTAACCCTCTGTTCAGTACCACTGGCCAAAGGTCACTCTTGATACTCATCTCAACAGATGCTGCTCCTATGTCAAGGCACGCATGTTTTAAGTCTCTGTAAAAACAGAGTGCTAGAAGGAAATAAGCCTGTGACATCTTCTTTAAGTTATTCAACCCGGTACCCTTCCTTCTGGACCAGTAAACAATTCTTATCTATCACTCAGCTTTTGTTTGGGAAGGGAACTGATTTCATCTGTTTCCTTAATAGGAGGCATGAGCCTCCAAAATTCTTGAAGGGTTAACAGACCTAGCTTATCAATACCCAAAGTGTGGTCCCTGGGCCACCAGCATCAGTGTCATTTGGGGGCTTGCTAGAGAGGGAGGATCTCAGCCCCACTCCTAGCCAGACCCCGAGAATCTGAATCTGCATTTTCACAAGATCCCTAGAGGACTCTTATGTGCATTTGAAATGGAAAAGCAATGATTTAAAATTAACTGTTCATTTTTTTGAAGCCTTAGCTCCAAACAAAGCCATATGCTTTCTCTAAATGATGAAGAAAAAGCTTAAAGAACCTGATGAGTCCCCCCTAAGCTGTGGAATTTGGACAAAATTTTGATTTGTGTTTTTTTTTTTTTTTCCCTCCTGCTCCCTATAGTATAAGAACCACTGAGAACTCAAATATTAGCTGTTTCTGCCTAGGGCTAACCAGGATCTGGTACTACTGCTACAAAGGAAATGAGTTTAATCCTTTTTTAAAAATTGAGACATAATCGACATAGAAGAATGCATTTAATTCTTAATAGGTCAGTTAAGTGCTTTACCAAGAGAAAACCTGGCTGGATGAAGGCTGGGAAGAAGGTATTCACATAATAGAGAATAAAAACAGTTTGTCGACAGATGTTGGTGAGGATGCGGAGAAAGGGGAACCCTCCTACACTGCTGGGGGGAATGCAAGCTGGTGCAGCCACTCTGGAAAACAGTATGGAGGTTCCTCAAAAAGTTGAAAATAGAGCTACCGGGTATTTACCCCAAAGATACAAATGTAGGGATCCGAAGGGGCACCTGCACCCCAGTCTTTATAGCAGCAATGTCCACGATAGCCAAACTATGGAAAGAGCCAAGATGTCCATCAACAGATGAATGGATAAAGAAGATGTGGTATATATATACAATGGAACATTATGCAGCCATCAAAAAAATGAAATCTTGCCATTTGCAACGATGTGAATAGAACTGGAGGGTGTTATGCTGAGTGAAATAAGTCAATCAGAGCAAGACAAGTATCGTATGATCTCACTGATATGAGGAATTCTTAATCTCGAGAAACAAACTGAGGATTGCTGGAGTGGTGGGGGGTGGGAGGGATGGGGTGGCTGGGTGATAGACATTGGGGAGAGTATGTGCTATGGTGAGCGCTGTGAATTGTGTAAGACTGATGAATCACAGACCTGTACCTCTGAAACAAATAATATATGTTAAAAAAAAAAAAGAGAGAGTAGGAAGGGAAAAATGAAGGGGGGCAAATCAGAGGGGGAGACGAACCATGAGAGACTATGGACTCTGAAAAACAAACCGAGGGTTTGCGGGGGGGGATGGGTTAGCCCGGTGATGGGTATTAAGGAGGGCACATACTGCATGGAGCACTGGGTGTTATTCGCAAACAATTAATCATGGAACCCTACATCAAAAACTAATGATGTAATGAATGGTGAGTAACATAACATAAAATAAAATTTTTAAAAAATGGTAAAAAAAAAAACAACACAGTTTGTCTCACTTAATAATCATTATTTCCAGAAAACACCATGATTAGTACTTTAAGTCCAAGTTTTCAACACTCTCAGGAAATGAGTTTTCTCACCTACAGGTCCTAGCCACTCAGCCCTCACTATCGTGCTTCAGGAACCAGGAAATGCTTTATATACCTTATCCTATGAACGCTCCCAGAGACTCTTTGTGGCAGGGATTTATCATGCCCACTTTGCGGATGAGGAAACTGAGGCTCACAATCTGACTGATGGAACCAAAGGCCATTCCTAGGTCTGTGTGACAGGTGAACCCTCAGGATAGGGTTTTGGCCAAGTCATTTGGGAGCGTGTGCTCGCTCCATGGCCCAACTGCATCAGAGCACACGAGGTCATGTGGTAAGAAGTGGCTGTTTCACCTGGACGAGTACTTTTTTTTTTTAATGGCTTTAATGAGATATAATTTACATACCATAGAATTCACTGCACGTCATTTTTAAGATGGTAAGGAACACGAACATTTATGGAAATAAAGATGTCCTTTTCCCTCTAAAAGAAAAGCCAAAGATGCAGTGAGCCCAGACGGGCGGGTCTCCGGGGAGCCTCATGGAGTCAGGAAGGCCTACCTTGGATTCCGTACAGCCGGTTGAGGCGTGACCGCCGGGCCTCATCGGTATAGGGGACAGCAAGCCAGGGCATCTCACTGAAGTACTGTTTGAATGAGTCCTCGGACCTACAGAGACACACATGGAAGCAAGGCTCTGTTATCCTTGAAAGCACCACCGTGGGGTCCTCCCCGCCTTCTACCAAGCTATGGCCAGCACCCCGAATCATCGTGCTCCGCAGACACCAGGCTATGGGAGGGAACTATTCTACCCCCTCTGGTGTACACCAAGAAGCAACAGCCTCCCCACGACAGGCGGATGTGAACTAGACCGACAGGCCGTTCCAAGTAGCCTGCTCCTCTGGGTCCTACCAGTTTAACTCAGGCCCAACTTCTCATTTTTCAACAGAGACAGGTGGTACTTTTGCAAGCAGCCTAGATGTACTCGACACTGTTCCCCATGATACTGCCACTCTGTGAGGGTAACAGTGCCGTGCACAGGGGCACACTCTTAACCAAGCAGAAGCCGATGGTTCCCTGTATTAAAAAACTCTAGGAGGACGCCTGGGTGGCTCAGTTGGTTAAGCGACTGCCTTCGGCTCCGGTCATGATCCCAGGGTCCTGGGATCGAGCCTCACATCAGGCTCCCCACTCTGTGGGAAGCCTGCTTCTCCCTCTCCCACTCCCCCTGCTTGTGTTCCCTCTCCCGCTCTGTCAAATAAATAAAATCTTTAAAAAAAAAAAAAAAAAAACTCAAGGAAGGACAGAGCTAACCACAGTGATAAGAAGCAGATCAGGGGCTCCCTGGGGCTGGGGTTTGAGGGTGACGACTGAGAAGGCACCTTGTGACGACAGAAATGTTCTATACTTAACGGTGATTACAGGGCTACATACGTTGGTCAACAGTCGTTGAAATTGTACGTAATTGTGATGAAGGAGGGTCGCTGATGAGTAAAACCAGCAAGAGGGCCCGCAGCAGAGGAAGTTGTGGTGAAAAGGACCTGAGGTACTCCAGGAGGAGACTTTGCCCTTCTTGTTTTTAGGACAGCCCCCAGGCAAAGGACGTGGCCAGAGCGAAGGGAAATTATGGCACAGCCGTCCCAGACAAGTGTCACATTCCATCAGCCTCTGGCTCTTTTCTTTCCATCCTTCCCCTCCAAGCCCTTTCATCGTGACCCACAATGCTGAACAAATCAGAAAATCGCATCCTAATCTCTAATGACCCAGGCTGGAAGGGGACATGCCACAATTATTTACAGCAAGAACAGGTTTTTCTCGGCTCCCCTTCAGATAGGAAATCTGAAATGTATCTGGCCATTCGCCAATCATCCCAGATAAGCCTTGCCCAACCCCCGTCTCCATGCTCTACCCTTAGGGAGTGAGACGTGTAAGGTAGGAGAAATGGGTGTTAACCTCTGGAAAAGGGAACGGAACGGCGCAGCCACTTTCCCCAGCTCACGTTACCTGTCCGCACTAACGAAGATGATCTCAAATTTCTGGCCTGCCTCCTTGATCTTCCGGTAGGATTCCACCAGGACCCGGGTGAGGCTTCGGCAGGGTGGGCACTGCAAGAGGAGAGGGGTATCCTGCAGCCTGACGCTGGACCTGGCCTTCCCATTTCCCAGCCACTTGCCAAAAGAGACCGGGTAAGCGAGACCCAAGTAGGACTGGGAGAGCGAAACCCGGCTTAATAAAGAGGCAGAAACAAACACGCCTCTTGTGATGGTGAGTGTCCAACACGGGGTGCCCCCCACCCACACGTCATGCCAGCGGGTGGCAGGGAAAACAAACCCCCTTAGAGACTGCTGGAAGCCTCATCAGAATGGGTTAGGAAGACTCTCCTTTCAGACCAGTCAAAAGAAGTAATTTTCTTGCTGCCATCATCATTCGTAATAATAAGCACTCGTGGCATGCCAACAATGCATCAGGTGCAGGAGGAAGTAAGAACACGGAGAGTCATGCCCGAGCAGTTAACACCTCCAAGAGCCAACCACGACTGGTCTTGGTCACAACATCACTGCTTCCTTCCATCTGGACGGAACACTCACCCAGTGTGCGGAGAAATAGACTCCCACGTGAGACCCCTCCAAGCTGCTGCTCTCCAGGGACTGTCCATTATTTCTCAGCAAGGGCCCTGCAATGACTTCCCTGAAGGGTTTAGGTCCCCAAGGGAATTCCAAACCTGAAACAAGCAACAGAGGGTGAGAACATTGTTAAGACTCTTCCTTACGGTCTCTGACCCAAGAGGCGTCAGAGAGGCAGGGCCCGACAGCATTATCATCAAATAGTATTTGTTAACACACGCAGAGGATCTGGAGCTAAAGCACAGGAAGGAAGGCAGAACCCATTCATGGCAGAGCCCCACACACCTCCCAGATGATGGTTCCCGAACCTGGGTGATCATAGGGCCTGTCTCCCGGGGGGGCTTTTGGAAAGTTACAGAAGCCCTGGTCACACTCTGAGTCTTGGGATCTGGTGCCAAGGCTGAAGATGTATGTCCAAAACAAAGCAAAACAGACTCTCCCCAGGTAAGTCTGATGCTGCGCCAGGCTGGGAAATCCTCATGGAGGAACCATGAGTTGCTTCAAGTCCAACCCTGGAAGCTCAGTGGCTCCCAACTCTGATGGCATTTTAGAATCAGCGGGGGAGTTTTCAAATAGGATGCTCCTGGGGCCCACCCCCAGGGATTCTGATGCAGTTGGTCTGGGTTGGGGCCCAGGAAACCAAGTGAGAATTAAATCCAGTTAAAGGAAAGAGTAAAAACTCACTCAACCCAGATGTTCTACATTCTGATGACACTTAAGCCCCAGGCAGGAAGAGCAACACAACAGTGTTTTCTCACAGGGTGGTCCATGGACCACGGCCTCAAAAATCGCCTGGGGTGGGTGGGGGATGGGAGAAGCACAGACTGGTTAAAAATGCAAATGGCCAAGCCCACCCTGAATCAAAGAGACCCAAACATCTCTGGAGGTGGGGCTGGGAAATCTGCATTTTTAACAAGCTCAGAGGAGGGAGGGGGGGAGAGAGAGAGAGAGAGAGAGAGAGAGAGAGAGAGAGAGAGAGAGAGTGTGTGTGTGTGTGTGTGTGTGTGTGTGTGTGATTTGAGAAGGTAAAGACTGGGTTCTACCCTGCCTTGGTTTTTACTGAGGGCAATTCTTTGAAGCAGGTGAAATTTTTCCCAGGAAAAATCTGTGACCAGGGTGAATCCCCTAATCAGTAAGTGAGGAAAGGAAGGCCTCACGACACTTCAGGACAGCAGCGCGGTGGGGAGAGAACCAGAGCTCGGGCAGCCAGCAAGCGGGACGGTGATAACAGCAGCCCAGCGCACGACCACCCACCCGGCCAGTCAGCAAGGCCAAGGCCAAGGCGCTTGGGCAGCACCAAGAAATGAGGTCAGTCACCCCCTGGGCCAGGAGAGCAACACAGAGGCTGTGACTTTGCGACGGTAAGATTTTAAAGAGACAAAAACCTCACAACCGCTGAGCCTGCCTCTAATTGGTGAGGTGACAGCTGCTATGGACACAGCACCCAAGTCCGTTTCCAGGCTCTCACTGCTTCTCGACGGCCTCCTCAGCCCTCAAAACCGAACTTCCTTTCTCCGATTCCGTCTCCTTTGGCCCATGAATTAAAGCCCCCAGGAGGGACATTCTGATCTCTTTAAAAATCTTAACCATGACCCGGAGAATACTCTAATTTCATCATGACAATATCCTCTAGCCAAGCGAACCCACTCATATCTATTTCATTTATATGTTCTCTGCCAATGGGGATGAAGTCAGGGTAGGAGGATGGAGCCGGGAGTACGGGACGGACATGCCAAGGTCCTACAGGTCCTACCTTCTGGGTCATCGCGGATCACCAGCAGCCCATTCCTGCACACGACCTTCCCGGTGGTGGCGTCTAGGAATATTAGTGATGGAATGTTGGAAATGCGGTATTTGTTCCAAAGTTTCAGCTGTAAGAAGAAAAGGGAAAAAGGTGGTTAAGTCCCAACCACATTAACTGCAGCGTTCTTTTGAGCCCCTTGGGCCCGAGGGGTGAATGAACTGTAACACACTGAGGTACAGATCAATGAACAAGTGAAGCTACGAGCCCACTGGCCTCTGTGGTCTGGGGCAGGGCAGGGGAGTCTGAGTCGCACCCGGGCTCAGGCTGTGACTGAGGCCGACGGAGGATCACACCTGTTCCAAGAGAGCTCTTCGATGCCCCTTCTCCCACGGGCACTTCCTCAAAAAAGCATAAAGATGGAAGATGGATTATGAAATGAACCACACGTACACCCCCAACGCCAGGTGCTTAAGGCAGGAAGGAAGGCTTTTTATCGGTGCCTCTCAACCCTATCAGCAGGCAGGTGCTCCCCTGCTTCCCGGCTCTGCTGTGCCCCCTGAGCCCTGAGAGAGAGGGGACAAGGGTATTAAACAGAAGACCAAGTAGCTAGAGGCTGGCCCTCTCCCACTCCACCAGGTTCTTGCACTTGGAATATTGGCAGCGGCGGTGTGTGCCACTCACCCACAAACACGAGGGAAGCAACATCCTGAGCCAGCCCCAAGCCTCAGTTCTCAGTGCCACTTAAAATAACCCACAGTCTACTGGCAGGCTCTGGAGGTTGGCTGTGCCAACTGTCAGAGGAGCAGGGTCTAGGAGGGACAGGGCTGAGGAAGCATGAATGCAACAGCCCAGGACAGGGAGCTGAGTAGGGGCCGGCTCCCTTTATTTGCTCCCAGCCATCGGGGTGAACATCATTCAGGTGGGTCCCTCGGCGCTCTGGAACTTAACTGCTGAGCCCAGAAAGCGACATAATTAGACATAATGTCCAACTACCAAGGCAGCTCCAGAGAAGAAAGAAACCAGGGGAAAGGGAAGAATGGCCCACTGGTGATTCAGCTGCAGCCTCCCTTCCGGGGCCTGGGGCCCACGCAGGGGGGCCGGCCGCCTGGGCATTGGCAGAACGGGGCATGGGTGTGTCAAAGGGAAGCAGGCACCAGAAGTCCAGCTGCACAGAGCAGATTATTATTGTTTTTAATTCAATCCCGAGCAGCGAGGGAGTCGGGTGGGGTATCTACCAAGAAATGTTAGGCTTCCCCTGTCTGTGGAGATCTGGGTCTTGGCAGGAAAGGCTATGGTACCCCACCTCCAAATGGGTGGGCCCTGCCTTTGCAGTGGGCTCCCAAACCAGCCCTTCGAGCAAGAGCAACTCTGCACATAGTTTGCACTGCCCAGCATTGCATCATTCCAGAGAAACCTGATATAGGCCGCAGATTCAACATTTTTAGAAGAAGAGGTTCAATGACAGGCCAAGACCATCCTGCTGCTGGGCTTAGCTCTCAAAGTTTGCTAGTGCAAGGACCCGGCCAGGTGAATAAGTTTCAAAGGGGGCAGGGAGGAAGATGAAGGGACTTCTCTGGTTTAAAAAGTAATTACTGGAGGGAGAAAAGTAATTACTGGAAAAAATGAGAAACATAGCAAACCACAAAAGTTGAGATAAAAATCACCCATGACTCACCACTTATGAAAGCTTGGACAACTTTATATTTCCACTAGCGGTAAATGAGAGAGCCCATTCCCCAGTATTCTTACCAATACTCGTTTTTTTTTTAATTTGACAGGAAAAAATGAAGCCTTGTTTTTGTTGCTTATCTTCTACTTATTGATGTTTAGGCATTTCGTATCTCACTATTATAAGTACACTGTTCCTTCCCAGTATGTTTTGTGACTGCTAAGTGCTAAAATTCATTCAACAATATTAACTGAGCACTTACTATGTGCCAGCCCTATGCCCAGCACAAAAGATGCAAGAAAGAACAAGGCAAATGAAGTCGCTGCCTTCACAGGGCTTCAATTCTAGTGCGAGAGACCGGCAAAAATAAGAACAGAATAATTTCAGAAACTTTAATAAAAGAAAAAAGAGCAAGGTAAGGGCAAAGGCGTGCTGACGGGGTAGTGGTACGTATTTCAGAGAGGGATCAGGGAAGACATCTTTGAAGAAATGGCATTTGAGCACAGACCCCTGATATGAGACGGAGTGAGTCACGCGCGCATGGAGGGAGGCCACCTGAGGCCCCGGGCACCTGTTAGAGGCTGGGAGGCACAGGAAGAGGGCTGGGGTGGAGCAGCCAGTCAGTCGGGGAGGGGCCGCGATGACGTCAGAAGGGCACTCCTGGCAGATCTTTAAGGCCCTGCAGTCCAGTAAAACGGATGGAATTTTATTCCCAGTGTAACAGGAAACTACGGAGGGTTAGCAGGGGAGTGGTATGATCTGACTTACATTTTAAAAGGTCACTCCAGCAGCCCTGAAGGAATAGGCTGCAGGGAAAGAAAGGGTCTGGAGCAGCCAGTGCAAACAGCCCAGGCAGGAGGTGACAGCAGCGGCGAGGACCTGGGCTATAGCAGCAAAGAGTGAGCACATGAGATATATATATATATATATTTTTTTTTTTTAAAGATTTTATTTATTTGACAGAGAGAGACACAGCGAGAGAGGGAACACAAGCAGCGGGAGTGGGGGAGGGAGAAGCAGGCTTCCTGCGGAGCAGGGAGGCCCATGTGGGGCTCGATCCCAGGACCCTGGGATTATGACCTGAGCCAAAGGCAGACGCTTAACGACTGAGCCACCCAGGTGTCCCCCACATGATATATTTTGAAGACAGTCACTAGAGCGGGTTGACAAATTGAATGTGGCAAAGCGATGAGGGAAAGCAAAAGATCAACAATGTACTGTGGTTTGGGGGTTTGAGCAAAAGTGTGTCAAGGGTTCCCACTGACCAAGATGAGGAGAAACTTTGGGAGGGAAAAATCAAGATCGGACAGGTCAGTCTGAGGTACCAGTGGAGATTTCAAGGAGGCACCTGGATTGACCAATCTCTGGGGAGCCGGAGGGAGGGGGGGTCATGGGCTATAAATCGGGAATCCTCACTGCCTGGATGCTGTTAGGGGTCATGGGCCTGCATGAGGTTACCCAAGGAGAGGGCATGGTTACAGAGGGAAGGGCACCCCCGGGCAGATCCAGGGGCCACCCACAAAAGACTAAGAAGGCGTGACAAGTGACAGAGGAGGAAAATGGGGAGACTCTGGTGTCCCAAAAGGCAGGTGACAGAAGTGTTTTGGGGAGGAGAGATTAGACTCCTGTGTCAAATGCCGCTGAGATGTTGAGTATGATGCGGCCAGAGAACTGACCAGCGGATATGGCAACTAAGGTCATTCATGACCTTGACAGGTCAAGGAGTCAGCGACGCGAGGATGAAAGAGCGAGTGGAAGAGGGAGGGACTGGGGTGCAGCTCTGTCCAGCACACACACCTCGAGTGGGCGGGGGGGGACCAGACAAACTCGAGTCCGCTTGCCAACACAAAACACCTAGCAGAGGACAGTAAAAAGAAGACAGGCTGTACAGGGAAAAAGAAAATGGCAGATAAGGGGCTAAGGTGGTGACTATTGAGGACTTCCCTTAAGAGTTTTACTGTAAAGGGAGCAGAGCATAGACTGTAGCTGGAAAAACAGGATGAGGTCAGAGAGAGGATATTTTAAAGATGAGGTCAGGGGGTGGATATTTTATAGATGGGAGGTAGTTTAACATATGCTGCTGGGGATAATCCAGACAAAGAAAAAATTGATGAGAAGGAAAAATGCAGGAATAAAAGTCAGTGAGTAGGCCAGAGGGTGCGATCAGGGTCACAAATAGGAAGGTGGAGCTGGAGAAACAGCTAACTCTGGTAATACACTCTTGCTTCAAAGCACGTTGGAGCCTGTATAGAAAGCCATGCTATTTGCAAATAAAGAGAACTTTATCTTCTTTTTTCAACCTTTATTTCCTTTTCTTATAGAACTAGATTGGCTGGAATTTCCAGAACAAAAGAGTAAGTGGCAAGCATCTCTAACTTCTACCTGATCATAATGGATGGATCTTTTACTATCATATGTAGTATCAGCCATTGGTGTGAGACAGATATTCTTTACACGTTAAATAAAATAGTCTTGAATATCATTCAGCCGTAAAAGGAAGGGAATTCTGACACACGCTACAACATGGATGAACCTTCGGGACACCATGCTAAGTGAAAGAAGCCAGTCACAAAAAGACAAACACTGTGTGATTCCATTTCTGTGAGGCACCTAGAGTAGTCCAAGTCGTAAAGACAGAAAATTGTAATGGTGGTTGACGGGGGCTGGTGGACTGTGGAGATGGAGGAAATGTGGCATTAATGGGTGTATAGTTTCAGCATTTCTCTTTTAAAAATTCATTTATCTGAGAGAGAGAGAGAGAGTGCATGTGCACGAGGGAGCGTGGGCAGGGGGAAGGGCAGAAGGAGAGAGACAGTCTCAAGCGGATTCCCTGCTGAGTACAGAGCCTGACAAGGGGCTCGATCTCAGGACCTTGAGATCATGACCTGAACCGAAATCAAGAGTCAGAGCCTGACTGAGCCACCCAGGTGCCCCTACAATTTCAGTTTTACAAAATTAAAAGAGTTACAGGGATGGTGCTGGCTACCCGATGATGTGAATATGTTTAATACCATTGAACTGTACACTTAAAAATGGCTAAGATGGGCATGCCTGGGTGGCTCAGTTGGTTAGGCGTCTGCCTTTGGCTCGGGTCATGATCCCGGGGGTCCTGGGATCGAGCCTCACATCAGGCTCCCTGATAGGTGGGGAGCCTCCTTCTCCCTCTCCCCCTTGCTCGTGCTCTCTCTCTCTCTCACTATCTCTTCCTCTGTCTCAAATAAATAAAATCTTCTAAAAAATGGCGAAGATGGTAAGTTTCATGTTACGTGTATTTTACCACAATTAAAAAAAAAATAGCCTTCCATAACTTTTTGACCAAAAGTTTTATCAGGAATGGATCTGTTTATCAGGAATGGATACATTTCATTAGTAGTAGCCTTTAACTCCAAGGTTAAACCATCCTTGCCTTCCTAGAAGAAATCCTCCCTGGTCACACGTATTGTAAAGGGATCACAACT